GCCAGCCAGCCAGCACTGCACATGTCCATGCCGCTCTGCCAGGCCAGGTAGAGCTGGCCCGTGGTGGCCAGCCGGGCGCCCAGCCGCCGACACTCATTGGCTGCCTCCTGGAAGGTGAACTTCTCCGGAGATGTCGCATAGAAGACCTCGCCTGCGAAGGACGGGGCCGGCAGAGTGAGGATCCCCCTCCCCGCTCCTGCCCTGCATCCCCAGCCAATCCACGTGGCTGCTAGGATCCCAAATCCTGCTCCAAATCATCCTTGCACGCACTCTGTTGTGGAACATCCTCCTCCCGGGGCATCTCTCCTACGAGTTAAGCATTGCCCATGCAAGCAATCCTTTACAAAACTTCCCATTCTGACGGGACGAGCAGGCATTGAACTCTGACCCTTAGAGCAGTGGTTCTCAAACTGGGGTCTCTAGCCTGCAGCATCTATAAGGGCATTAGTGGGGGCTTCTGAGCTCTTTTTACTATTTGCAAAAACCTAAGAAAGTTATGTGAGGGGGGTTAGGGGTGCGTGGTGGGCACCTGTTCTCGGGGAAGGTGCTGGCTGGCCCTGTTCAGGGGCAGCTCTGATGGGCAGTGCCCAAGAATGGGGACACAGCTGCTTGTTCCTTAATAGGCTTTGGGCCCAGGCATGAGAATGAGGAAAAGGAGCACAGAGGTGAGAAAGCGGGGGACTGTCCCTGCCTCCAATGAGTCAGGTTGTCAGGTCTTTTCCTGGGAGAAGCTGCGAGCTGGGGTGGGGCTGGGGCTGGGGGCAGTGGCTGCGGTCTGGAATGTCCAAAGGGGTGATGGGTACAGATGGGAGAAGAACTGTCATCCACATGCCTGGGTAACTTGGGAAGCTCTGACTGGGACCAAAACCAGCACCCTCTACAAAGCAGAGAAAGACTCCAGGTCCCTTCTCACTATCCTCCAGGGCCCTCCAGAACCAGTCCACGGAGACTGCCTGGATGGGGCTGGGGGCCGGCAGCGGGGAAGCCGAGAGAGGGTGGGGGGCAGCCAGCTCTCCTGGGAACTACGTTTCTGTTTGGCCCACCCTGGAGCAGCCTGGGGTGTCCTTGGTGAGGGGGGCTGGGCTGGGCTGGTGCAGTGGACCTTGGGACGGTGACGGGCTGGTCCGAGCACTGAGTGGTGGGGCATCCTGGCTGCGAGGGGCGGTCCCAGGGGAGAGGCAGAGACAAGCATTCTCGGGCCCAGGAGCGGTGCCAAACATTTGGCAGGTGCCTGGGGCCCCTGAGGCCCTTTCCCAAGTGGACAGTGAGGGGCCTGCAGGCCCTTTCCCTCCTTCCCATTCTCCCTGTACATGGCAGAGGGGTTGAGTATGGGCTGCAGCTGGGCTAGAGCCCTGCCCCAGAGGAGGCCCATGTGATCCCGAGTGTCAGCGGGGAGAAGGGCACCGGCAGGGGCTTTGGGGACGGGGGTGGGGCCTCACCTTCCATGTCTTCAGCGAAGCAGTACACATCATAGGTCTCATTGGTGTCTCGGATGCCGTATGTCCTCACGCCCGGAAACTCATCCTTGTCCCCATAACAGCCTTCCCTCGGAGTGTGGATGGGGTACCTGCCAGGAACCCAGAGTGGGGCATGACATTCAGGAAACAGAAGGGGCTTGTGGCCTGTGCCCTTGTACCCTCCCTCCGACGTGGGAGGAAACAGTGGCTCACTGATGTGTTTGCCAGCATCTGCCCTGGGTACGTGGACCACTTGTTTTTACAGTTTTTCCCAAGCTTTACCGAGATGTGTGTTTTCACAGTTTGTGGTGACTACAGGCAGCCCCCTTTACCGATTCTTTATCAGTACTGAACATATTGTATCAGGGGCCTGCAAACCTCTTCTGTAGAAAGGCTAGGTGGTAAATATTTTAGGGCTCGCAGCCTCTGGGGTCTCAACTTGACCACTCAACCTTGCCACCGTGGTGTGAAACCACCACAGGGTTCCCACACAACTTTACGCACAGAAACGAGGTTGGTTGGATTCGGCCCTCGGGCTGTCCCTTGCTGACCCCTGCTTTGTATCATCTGGGTCTCACGTCAACCTAATGAGGCAAGTGCTATAAAGACTCCATTTTAGCCTGGAAGAAACTGGGGCCCAGAGACATTAAGCAATTTGTCCAACGTCACACAGCGGCTAAGTGTCAGAGCTGTGGTCTGAGCCCAGCTGTTTGTGAGCTGGGGATGTGGGCTCTTGGACTATGCGAGGCTGCTGTCTCGTCTTGTTTTCCTTTTAGTGGGTGTTGTGTCCTAAAATCTCAAAGATTGCAAAGATATTTTCCTTTGTTTTCCTCTGGAGGCTTTGCGGTTCTGGTTTTTCTGTTGAGAGGTCGGATCCATCGTGAATGGATGTCTCCTCTCGCCTGAACAGGCTCGCTCTCACAGACTGAGATCCCTCGAGGGCAGAGCTCTGTCTGTCCTGCTGGGCTACCCATCCCTCAGCAGCTGTACTTGTAGGGGGGAAAATGTGTCAAAAAGCTTAATTTATATATGTCTTGCATTATTAAAAACAACAACAAAAAAAGTAAAGCAGCTAAAAAAAAATACATGAAACACCAAAGTTAACATTTTTTTTTTTTTAACGTTTATTTATTTTTGAGACAGAGAGAGACAGAGCATGAACGGGGCAGGGTCAGAGAGAGAGGGAGACACGGAATCCGAAACAGGCTCCAGGCTCTGAGCTGTCAGCACAGAGCCCGACGTGGGGCTCGAACTCACGGACCGCGAGATCATGACCTGAGCCACAGTTGGACGCTTAATCGACTGAGCCACCCAGGCGCCCCCGAAACACCAAAGTTTAAAGGACCGGTGAAGGGGCGCCTGGGTGGCGCAGTCGGTTAAGCGTCCGACTTCAGCCAGGTCACGATCTCCCGGGCCGGGAGTTCGAGCCCCGCGTCAGGCTCTGGGCTGATGGCTCAGAGCCTGGAGCCTGTTTCTGATTCTGTGTCTCCCTCTCTCTCTGCCCCTCCCCCGTTCATGCTCTGTCTCTCTCTGTCCCAAAAATAAATAAATGTTGAAAAAAAAATTTAAAAAAAATAAAATAAAATAAAGGACCGGTGAAGACATCATGCCAAAGGGGAATGTGGGCAGAAAGGAGAATGATGTGTAATTTGCACGGAGAAAATGATCGTGTAGGGCAAAGCTGCTAGGATTTGGACCGGTCGTGGTGCCATGGGATTTCCACGAGCAGAACCCCCAGACACCCCAGGACATGTCCTGGCTCCCTGCGAGCTCCCACATGAGCATGTCTGAGACGGATTGCCCTGGGCACATTTACCGTCTTGCAAATTACACTGTATATTCAAATGAGTACAATAAACCCCCTTTAAAAAAAAAAAAAAAAAAAAAAAGTAAGGCACACAGGGGCGCCTGGGTGGCTCAGTCGGTTGAGTGTCCAACTTTGGCTCAGGTCATGATCTCACAGTTTGTGGGTTCAAACCCCGCGTCGGGCTCTGTGCTGACGGCCCAGAACTTGGAGCCTGCTTCGGATTCTGTCTCCCTCCCTCTCTCTTCCCCTCCCTCACTTGCGTGAACGCTCTCTCTCCCTCTCAAAAATAAATAACATTAAAAACATTTTAAAAGTAAGGCACATAAAGGCCTTCTGTGCAAGTTCTGTATAATTTTAGAATTCCTATCGGCTAATAAAAGTATTTCCACGGTAGCACTGGAGCTATCCAGAAAAGCACCTAATGAGCTTTCTGTAAACAAAATACCTGAGACCTTATTCTATCTTACCGCACAGGATAAACGAACAGCCCCAAATCCGCCTGTTTCTGCGTAACGATAGACGGATTGTCACAGTCGGCCAAGGCACTTACTCCAGCCCCCGCCGAGGCCCGCCACGGTGTCGGGCTGGCACCAGCTCCGTGCCGGTTGGTGTTCCGGTCCATCGCCCACCCCGCCCCGTGGGTGGCCCCGGGGGCTCACCTGACAGTCTGGTCAGCCAGCCAGCCGGCGTCGCACTGGTGGAAGCCGTCCTCGTAGGCAGCCTGCAGCTGTTCGGGTGTGGCGATGATGGCACTGTTCTGCAGGCAGGCCCGCTGTGCCCTGTCAAAGTCCAGCGTGTAGCGTGTGGAGATAGCTCTGTAATGGAACACGATGCCTGCAAGACACGTGTGGGCGGGACAGCAAGTCAGGCACGGCCTCCGGCCATCGAAGACCTGGAAGAGTTGTGGCCGTGGTCCCTAAGGGGCCCGAGGGACATCTGCCCCGGGCCTCTAGCTGA